ACTGAGCACCTTGGACAAGCGACAGCAGGTGGCTTGGGCCACTTTCAATCTGGCATTGAGGGTCTCTTGTTCAAAGTTTCCGTACGAGACACATATGCCCAAGTAAGTCATGCTGGTTTTGACCGGGATTCGAAGTTCACCCTTACCAAGGCCGATGACCAAACATTGCCTATCCCCCGTGCCTTGGAGGTGTTTGTTCAGCAGCTCAGTTGCTTTCAATCCACGGACCCCAAGCACCACGCCCGACTTCAGGGGGTTGACACACATCCCGTGCTCCCGATACACTTCAAAGACGCATTTGATAATGTGCATTGAGCGAATGATGTCATCCGTGCTACTGATTTCAAAGCTGGCGTGGGAGTCGTCCGCGTAGAGCGTTAAATGATTCTGCACCCAATCTGCCGGCAGACGAGCCTGTAATTTAGAGATCAAATACGCACTGAAGATGACATAAAGCAACGGTGCAAGCGTACACCCCTGACGTACACCTCTGCGCATATGGATGCATTTGGAGCGACCCTTGTGTTGTATGGTGTATCGGCGCACCGAGTGTAAATCCAATATGGTGGCAATCAGGGTAGTGTTTGCTCCTGCCCATAATAAGGCACGGCCAAGCTCATCTCTCGGCACTGTGTCGAATGCAGTCGTCAGGTCAATGGCTAACTGCAATCCTCCATATGCACCCAACCTAGGCTTACGGGCCCTGTAGGTGTGTACGTTTGACACCTGTTGCTGGTGGCTGTGCCTGACACGCCGACAGTGATCCGACACACGAGCAATTGCATCATCCGTTCCCCTGGAGGGGATATAAGCAAAAACTGGCATGCTTGCAAGGGCTGTATGAACATCTCGGAGAAGAAGATTCTTGAGAATTCGAGCGTATGCCTTAGCATTGCAATCCTGTAGTCCAAGCGGCCTAAGATTAGCCGGTCTCTTCGCAATTTTATGCGGTTTCGGGATTAATGCAAGATGACAATTCGCCCATCTCTGCGGCGTCGTAGCCCCTTGCAAGCATGCATTCACTGCCGGGGTGATTGCCTGAGCCAGAATATCCGCACAGCATTTGATTGCACTGGACGGTGCTGCCTGTGGTGGAACTGCCTTCCCGTACTTGGTGAGGCAAAGCGAGTCATAGACATCTTTCTCAGTGACCTGAGGAGCTGTATCTGTACCAGGGCTGATGTGCATCGAGGCCTGCTGAGACTGAAACAGATCCTCAAAGTATTCCACAATGGCCTCGTGTTCAGCTGCGTCTCTTAGCATTTCTCCATTGGGACCATGGATGCGAACCTGCACGCGTTTACTCTTTGGGGCCAGGCGTCTAATGATCCTGTGCAGCTGACCAGAGTCATTGCGCTGTGCTGCCTCCGCCGCTGCTGCTAGCTCATTCGTGAGTAGAGCTCGCCTTGCCTGGCGACCGTTTTGCTTCAGAAGACGATAGGCCTGCATGAAGGCTCGATGTCGTTTGAAGGCCTCCATGCTGTATCGCAATCGTGTGTAAGTGATGCTCCAGATGTTGCGAAGACGTGCCCTGGCCTGCCACATTGCTGTCACCGATCCTCGCACTTGTGGATTGTTCCAAGCTCGCTGCACTGGTGCCGTCGAGCGCCGAGGAAACAGTCTTGAAACCTGTGAGAGCATATGATCATTGACTTGCTCCAAAGTGGCTGAGGCGTGGCTTTGGAAGTATGCCTGCATTGCCTCGCGTAGAGCAGCAATTCGATCTCCTCCATGTCTGGCCTCATGATCTAACTGGATCTTATCATACTTAGCTTGCACCGGAGGGTGTCTTTGAGAAGAGCTCGTCCAGCCTGGGTGAAGAGGTAGAGTGGCTCCAACTGCCAAGTGCCTGCCACCCATGCGCCATGGACTGAAATTGATACGTGGAATCGTGCGAGCCTTTCTGGCAGGCCCATCCGCATGATGCCTGCGAGTGATGACAAAATCAATAATGGATTGATGTTTGGCCCCTGTGAAGGTGTGCTGTAGCTTCAAACGAATCCATCCATTCAAGAGGACCAGATCATGGGTCTCGAGCAAAGCAGCAAACTCATTGGCATCTGGATAATTGCTTGCCTTCTCATAACAGTGTCCCATTGCTCCAGCCACGTATTCCGGAGTGCAGTTATAATCCCCAAGCATTACTAACATGTTTCTTCTGGACAAATTATGCAGGAGAGCCCCAAGCTTTTCCCACAGTTTGTGTCGTTGGGGCAGNNGAATGATGTTCCTGTGCGACCCGAACATGTAATAGTCGCCCTGGTATGAGTTCTTGGTAGTGCATCTCACCTGTTCGGCAAAGAGTGTCTCTGACCAAGATAGCCACACCTTGGTACCTTGTGGACGCATCTATCGTAGTAACGAATCTCCAACCAGCAGAAACCCAGCTGCTAGATTCTTTGCCCAGGCCAAAGTGCACTTCTTGCAAGCAAACTATATCATAAGGTGCTGCAGGAAGCCATGCCATGAACGTGTCAAAGGTAACAGCATCTAGGCCTCCCAGGTTGATGCGAGCTCGAGCAGATCTCCTTGTCGTAATGCCTGGATGCACATGGTGCTGTCGTCGCCTAGCTTCCTGTACCTGAAAACGATGGCCCTGAAGCACACAGCGTCGGCCTCGATACACAGTGCTGTGGTCTGTTGCCTCCGAAGCACGTCTTATAGCTCTGGCAAAGGCTCGTTTACGAACTCGGTTTTGATGTGGCGTGTTACGGCTTGGCAGGCCTGGTGAAACTGTAGTACGCACTGTAGAATGGTGCGCGGTATGTCCATTTGCTTCGCCCCAGACAAGGCCTGAGGCTCCAGCACCCTGATGGACGATGGGTGCAACCCTCGCATCTACCGCAGCAGCTCTGGTGCACACACAAAGCTGAAGGATGACTAACCAGAAAAGAAAGTTGATCTGATTACATCGAGTCACTCTGCTGCAGTCGTGGGACTTGGGACCCACGCGGCTCTTCAATTGCGTGGAGCGGGTAGAGGTCAGGGGGAAAGCTTGATGCTCCTGATGGAGGTAGGTGGTGCTCTGACTGATGGATCTCCGTGCTGAAGCTCCCAAAGGTCCAAAAAGATGGCATACACAGCATGCTAAACGAGAATAAGCACTGAGTATACCACCTGTAGCGAAGAGGAGCGCGAGTTGGCACAATGCCATCACCTGGCAGATCCACTGTATTCGTAGAAAATAGTGCATCCAGACCAAAAACCAGGGATATAACCAATGCACCGCAGCCGCACTCATTTTCCCTGTTGGCCGATGGGAGCAGAAACTAAAGTCAAGCTCAATCCTTCGTGCCCCCCTCAAAGCCATAGTCCAGGCAGGCCATGAAGCTATCCTCTGAGCTATTGTCTCCCGAGCCCGAGATGAGCTCTGGCATGAAATCATCTTCATCCAGGCTGAGATCCAGCAACCGGCCTGTACGCGGGTCTGGGGACAAGATCCTTCCACCCGGCGGCGGGGCTGAGCTCTTCGAGCTCGCAGCTGTCTCAGAGACAGCCATCTCATCAGCCACTCGCCCTGTGTTCGGCTCAACGATGGGATCTTCAGCAGGCTGAGGCTCCGATTCTCCATCTTCCTCCAGCCACGGCGGCGGCGAGATGTAGAGATGGGCCGGCACTCCTCTATACATTGGAACCGTGGTGGTCTCAGCTGCCGGTCCTCCCTCCGCTCTGCCTTCTGTCTCGCTCCTCTCTGCCTCACCCGCCTCTCGTGGCGGGGGGTCCGACTTGGGGGACTCCAGCATGCTGCCAGCCTCCTCAGGATCATCAATCTCAGCCTCCAAGCTAAGCGAGGCACCTGGTGGTGGAGGAGGACCCTTGGGATGGAAGACAGGATTGGATGTAGGCCTTCCGCGGCGTCCAAAGACCCTGTTGTAGTATTTACTCTCCATTTGCCGCTCCGAGGGATACGGCTCCACAGGCGCCGTGCTTGGCCGAATGTTTGCCGGACCATACGTCGGAGCCGCAGCCATAGGCAGACCTTCCAGCATTGGAGTTCCTGAAGTAGAGGCCACTGAAGGCGGAATGGGCCGTGGGGCAGTCGAAGACACAGCCCCGCTTGTAGCAGCTGCATGGTGCCCAGTATCAGCCATATCCTGCAACCAGCGTCGTCCAAGGGGAGCGCTGCTACCAGGACTTGCAACCATGAGTAAAGAACACGCTGCAGCAGACATGGATCAGCTGGTAGCAGCAAGCAGGCAATCTGCAGCATACTTGTGCAAAGCTCACGGAGCAAAAGCAGAATGATAAGGAAACCAAGGCTGGTCAGGAACACCTGCCACCGGCACCGTTCTACAGGATCTCCCTGCTGCATCCGATATGCCCCTTGCAGCCAACGACAAGAGCACATTATAAGCTCAATCCATAGATTCCAGGGGTCCTCTGCAGCTAACCGCATACACCACATGCAGCATGTCAGAAGCGAAGTCTGGAAAAACCAGAGACACATCCTTGTACATCTGGAGTCTCTGAGGTCCCGGCAAAATCTCCCAAGCTTCGCTCCATATGCAAAAGGCTGAGCATGGCTTCCAAGCTCTGGCATATGTAGTAAACAGACTAAGCCTAGCAATTTGAGGCAGCTGCAGAACTTCCCGCCACTTATGCAAAAGCTGTTCCAAGGCTGCATCCAGCACGAACTTATGCAAAGCATCATCCATGTCAGCCCCCCTAGGAACCTTGTTGGACCCATGCGGCGCACAGAGGAGCATAGCCATAACGCAGGCCATGGCATGAAGTGCCTTCCGGCAACCCCGAAGAGGAAGGAGACACCACAAAACAACAAACCCCAGACCACCCCCAGCAGCGGGCAGCCCTTCTGAGAGCCGAGATGCTTAAGCTTGACTGACATGTAACTGTACCGCACACACGAACTCTGCATGACTGCATGGCTTGCTGGCTCCAATGCACTCAAGCACTGCCTCAAAAACTTGCTTTGTGGAAGGATGAAATTAGATACAAGCGCCCAAGCTACGATTCGACGTCCTTACATTCCGCAGGTGCGGCATCATTCGTTTATATAGACCGAAATTTGATAACGCTGCTGAGCGAGGAGGAAACTCCGGAGGATGTGACAGAGTTCCTTCGCCATCGATAGACCCTTCCTGGTATGGAAGTGCCACACCTGAACATGCAGTGGACGGGAAGATGCCCTCTACCCAGTAGCGCATCCAGCAGAAGCAGGAACACAGCGTAGGCCAGCAGATCCAAGGAGGAAATGAAACTCTGAGCAGAATCAGAGGCAATGAACCACCGGAACGGAACGCAATTTCCTTTTTGGTAACCGCTGGCGACCGTCTGGTGACATATGCACGTTCAGGACCAGGAAAAGGACAACAATGAGGGACTCGCTTCGCCGGCTGCACCTTCGGTCACTGCTGTTCATTGTAATGTCCTCGCCCGAGGTCTGTATCCAGCAGGTACTCAACCTCCGGATGATTGTATCCCTCTGCACCTTTGGCTCCTCGCCCTCGCCCGCTCTTGGGTTCTGGCTTTCTATCCACTCACTCTCTCTCTCGACCGCTATCCACGGCGGTCTTCCGGGCACTCCAGATTATCTCGCACTCCTGTAGCCGGTCGTCTACCAAGAAGAGGCCATCCCTGAGCCTCTCGGCGGATCCTAGCCTCACCGGTAGCCTCGTAGCCCGGTGCTTTCTTAGCAGAGGGAAGCTCGCCTAGCCCATTCTGGAATGTTGAACCGGACCTCCTCTGGCTCTCTCGCCTCCTTCTATCGCGCGTGGGGGAGGGGGCTCATCCGGTCTCTGTTACTGGGAAGCGAGGTTGGGGGGCATGCGTGCGCAGAAACACTCTTCAGGGAAGGAAGGGGAGTGGGGGCAGAGCGGGTTGTGCACGGGGGTGGACTGTGAGGTGGGGTGAATGGAAGGAAGCAGTGGGGTCGGCGGGTGGAGATTCGAGGGGAGGAAACAAAAAAGAGCCCCCCTCACCACAGCATTAGAGCAACAAAAGAATTTTTTTTGCCCATCTCTTTTACCGAAAGTAGTAGTAGTAGTAGTAGTAGTAGTAGTAGTGTCTAGGAGGTTGGGCAAGGAAGACAAAGAAGAGAGCCCCCCAGGATCATTATTAATATTTCAGCTGTCTGCTGGAAGCAGAAGGAAAATAACAATAATAAAATAACAAAAACAACACTGCACCGGTGGGCGGGACAGCGGAAAAAATACCGGAGTGGAATGGAGTGCGACCAGGACAGAGACAACTCCGAAAGCGGTATTACCTCCGGCCCGAAAACTTAAGGATCAAACCGAAACAAATGAGAAAAAGATACAGCACTGCGCTATCGCCTCTGGATCCGGCCCTTGGCTCTGAAGCTATCGGTGCATGGCACACCCGCTGCAAGTGTTGTCCATGATCGCTTGACTACATGAGTACATGAGGCAAGCTGTGAGAAATGGCAAGCACCCACAGAGCAAAAGAGACAGGAATGTTCAATTCATGTCAACCACAAATGCCCCATCGCAACACAAAGCAGTACGAAGATCGAGGCAGAACTCTTGTGCCCGGATGACCGCGGTAATGCTGCCGTACGTGAACCTGTGTCTACAGTCCCATGGCTTGCAGCACACTACACGCAGGCTTGCCACTAGGAGCACCATCGCCTAGCACGCCAGGGGACCCAAGCCGGTGAAAGCCCTCGATAGGATGTGCCTGCGGAGCCCTTGTCGCAGGGTGGCACTGATGGCGGCTGCTGGAAACTCCCGTGCCAGGGGCACAATTGCCAACATGAGCAGCGGGAAAAGAAGACGAGTCGCGGCCGACTGGGAGCGGGCGCCGAGCCGGCGCCAGCGGCACTTTGGACAAAGAAGAGTGGGCGCGGCAGCGGAAGGCCTGTTAATGTTGTTGGCACCTTGGTTCCAGCCGCACTGCCCTCGAAATGCAGAGAAACAGCGCACAGTTGGCAATACACCTCAAAGAGGTGTGCCTGCATCAGGGGCATGGCAGGGGTGCCGTGCCGCAACGTCAGCCAGCAAAGCTCCGACAACGCGGGCGGCGGTATGGGTGGCGGCAACGCACGTGCAAAGACGCTGGATGGAGAAGGACCCTGGCGAGACGTGCAGAATGCGCACGTCCGAGAGCCGGCTTCCATGCAAATGAAAGCAAGCCGAAGACGGGAGATGGTTGTACGTTCGTCGGGCACGGACTATCGCAGCTCCTTAACCACTGCTCCACGGGCTGGAGAGGCCAACCAGGTGGAAGTCGGGTCGACAGGTCGAACGAGGTCGGGAACGACAACCGCAACATCCTACAATCCAGAAACGCACGCATTGCATCTGCCAAGAAGCCCACCCTTTGAAGATATTCGGCCCGAGTGCGACAGAGAGCGAGGAGAAGCAGCCGCAAGGCAGCTGCAGCCGTCCAGTGACTGTAATAAGTCGGTCTTTGCTACCTTCGACTTCCGCCGACGCGGAGGACAGGTCTCGGCAGGTGCCACGCTGTTCATCCTCCACCTCGGGAACCTCTTCCGCGTCCGGGGAGGAGGGCGAGGTTGCACGGCACAAGGCATAATGCCCGATGCATGAGCCAAGTCAGAAGCTCCTTCAGCTAAAGTGGAGGCGGCACTGCTGTGACCCGGCTCAATGCCGAAGTCATCCACCTCAGTGCACATGGGCACCAACCATTGCCAGGTTGGCCAACTCCTGCCATCGTCGTCTTTGGGTGACCTTGCGCGCGCAAGATGTTGGCGCTGTGCTTCGGCCGTGTGTTGAGCCGGGGAAGCGAGCACGTGGGGTGCCCGGCAACGCACGTGGGAGAAATCCTCAGCACCGGACCAACGGTGAGCGAGGTCCAGGAGGCGTGGTAAGCAAAGGCTGAGATATCAACCATGTGTAACATGTGTGTGTGTGTGTCTGTGGGGAACAACCAACGGTGCCACTTCACAGGAACGTGGAAGTGTGAACAGCTGAACGTCTAACCCAGGTTGAAAAACCCCTGAAACAGACGCCAACTTACCTTGGACAGGTGGCCACTGCTTCGGCCCGCAGCAGACGACGAAAGAAGGCACGAGTAGGATTGGAGACCGGAATGCGTTGAAAAGAAATCTGAAAGGCCGGACTCCCTGAGTGCCACCAGACATCAGCCGGGCAGGGCAGGTTACATGCCTCACCGCACTGGGTGTCTTGACTTCCATGGCCTTGCACAATAAAAGTGTTGGGAACTGGCGGGCCTGTCTGATGACTCTTAAAGTCAATTCCTACTAACCCATGTTCCGCGAAGGCGACACGGCACAGAGAGAGGGGCCTGCCACGGGTATCTTGCTCGACATTCCACTGCACAAGCACCAAGTCGGACCACGCAGATTTTAGCGCCCGGATGACCGCTTGGACCCTGGAAACTAGATGTTGCCAGAATTTGGCCAGTAAAGTCTTGGAAAAAGCAGCACATTCCACAGCTAAGAGCGGCAAAAGCGAGGGTCGGTTCAGCATTAAGAGGGTCCAGTCACATGAACGGCACCAGCGCAGAGCAGTGAGCATGCTCGCGAGTTCAGCAGCGTGGATGCCCACACTCTCCCAGCCGTACCCGGAGGGCAAGCGGGAGGAAAGTTGTGGGCCGGGCCAACTGGCGCCTGCACAGGACGAGTCACCCTGCCCAAGAGAGAAAGCCAGGGCCTGGCAGAAGCATGTGCAGCAGGAGGCTCCGCGAGTGCTGCCGTCGGCAAAAGGTGCACTTTGTTTGCCCGGCAAAACAAGTTGAGCTGAGTCCAGATGACGACTGCGCGCATCAGTAAACGGATCACGGGGTTGTTCCCACGTGTGTACAGCCTAATCTTCGGAGCCATGCGCCGGAACTACATGGAAGAGGCTGCATTCTACGCTCCAGTCGGAGAAGGACTGGGCTTGGCTGGCTACAACAGCTGCCGCACACAGCTCAGGAGAGACGGGACAAGAGACAGGCAGCCTTTTCCAGTCATCAACGTGGCCCCAGGTTTCAGTGTCATACAGCGTGCCGACAAATTGTGCCCGCAACGCATTGGCGACTGGACCTACGTGGCAGTACTCAACGATGAGGCTGGCAAGGGACAATTCCTGGACATGCACTAGATGATCAAGCAAGTGGCCAACACGGCCAGAAGCCGCATGGCACGCACTTTTGCATGGCCTCCCGAAGTAAAAAAGGGCTTCCCATTATTGGTTCCTGGATGGATTGGTGCAGCATCCTTCACATCAGCCCCTGCACGCACCATCGCGCGGCCGCTTGTCCTTGTCGGTCTTGTCTGGCCTGGCTTGCCTCCCGGGAAAGCTGCTGGGCGCTTCCGCGGCCTCGAGGATCTCTTGAACCCCTCGGAAGGACGTTTGCAGAAATAACCCATAAACTTATTCACATAAACGTTCCAATGACCGAGGTGACCAGTGCCACACATCACATAAGCATGTGCTCGGGTGCATTGCCGACGGGCCAAGCTCCAGATCCCAGTCTTCACACCTGCGGCGCACTTTAAGGTTTTGCACCATGGTCGGAGGATGTCGGAGGCTTGTGACCCCAGTCCTTTGATCTCGAGCAGCGCGTCTTCGGAGAGCAACCGCTTTCAGGCAAGCCACTCCCAACTCTTGGATTGCACCTGTTGGTTGATGTATGGCTTCGAGTAAGCTTGACGGGGCTGGCCTCCGTTGTGGGTCGGCACTTACTCAACTCCCTCGCAATTTTCGGCAACAGGATGAATGTGCCACATGTCTCCCCCAACATCACCCGCGGCTTTGGGGACCGTCAGGAAACGCTTTATGAAACGCTCCAGCAGGGCCGTGCCCAAGAAAACTTGCCCAAATGTAACTTTGGAATCGTATACCGATGACAGCCTTCCGACAAGCCGCATTGCTGCAAAAAGGCCTTCCAAGAGAAGTGCACTCGGGATCACTCGGGCACGCACACTGGCTCATCTGCCTTCAGCTCTCAATCATGCCGCATGCCACACATCTGGCGGCGGCCCATACAAGGCGGGCGAGCGGGTGCAACTGCAGCAACACGAGGAGGCAGTCCAACATAGACACTGGCAGCCAGGCAAAGCTGCACACTGAGGATGGCGAGATGAACACGGTTTTCTGTACCACTTAAGGTTTGTGGCACACGCTGGCTGTAAACAAATCCCACCCCAGCACGACCCGACCAGAAACCCAATCAGGCTCGGAATCTTGCTTACTTGGCCCTTAGGAAACACCCACACACCCACACACAGCCCTCTACACTGTGAAGCCGAACTCCTGCAAGCGTTTCAGCACATCAGGTCGACACCTTGGAAATGTGAGCAAAGGCGTGTGAAGGTCTCGCTATTCTCGCCCGGCAACCGGGCCGGAAGACACAAAGGCCGAAACCACGTGCGCACGTGTGACCAGCAATAGGGTCCTGAGAGCTTTGCTTTGCTTCGACTTGCCAGAGTTAGCGTGCTACGCTCAGTGCCTAGCAGGCCAGGTGCCTCAGGAAAACCACCACAGCTCCGTTGGCCTTGGGTAGGTTTGGAAAAGCTCCAAAGCCTGAATATGTTTCCAAGACTTCTGGGTTTGTGGCGGGTCCGACCTCTTCAGAGATAGGTCGACGTCTCGCATCTGACCTGGTCCATCTTTGCTTCTTATATCTTTGGGCCGGGATTTAAAGAGTCGTCCACAAGCTTGCGAGATGAGTCGCATAGGCATCGCATAGGCCAAAGGCAAACACAAGCGGCAGCCTCCTTGAAATTACGCTCGTGTTCGGAGAGTGTGGGCCGCGCATAGGGCTCAGTCTGGAAAACGTCAGGAAGCAAGAAGTTTAACATGCCGGGCAATCAGAAATGCATGCTACAAGCGTGTACAAGCCAACCTGATTGAAAGCCATTGACTGAATCTCAAAATAGACAATGTGCACTTACTGCTGGGCTGCCACCATGAAGGCCTCAAGTCACTCATCACTTACCAACCTATCTATGCATGTTGAACCAGAGCTTCCTTTCCCTCCCCACATCTCTCGCAAAGCTCTAGCAGATTGATTGGGTTGGGCGGAAAGCAAGGGAGCTTAGTGTGGCAGCCGGCTTCGGCATTCATTCCGCCAGGAAGTTACTGTTCGACACTCGGCACTGAAGGAATTTAGCCTCGCATAGCTCTTGCTGTCAAGACTCCCGGTGACAAGCTGCGCCTGGATCAGACAGAGTTCTGTCTAAGATCTGTCTCCGCAATCCATGGAACATCTGGGTGCAAGACCAGCACAGTCTCTCCGTCCACACACTCACCTAGCCATAAGATTGGGTCCGAGAAAGCTGACAAGTTCATCGCGTATGATCCGAAGATGCCCACCTGTTGGCCACACCTCAGGCTAGTCTGCAAAGAACAGAATGGTGGAGAAGAGAGCTGTCACTCCGCTAGACCTGACCTGTCTTTCCGTACTGCCCGGACTTCGGCGATTGGGAGTGTTCGGGCTACCTGCCGTCCAATAACTAGCCATTCTCTTCTTGGACACTTAAACTCCTCGATAGCCTGCTTAATGGAGCTCATGAGGCTTGTACGGGAGCACCCGGTAAGGCTCGCAAGGGCACGCCGTGTGCCAAACATGCGCACCACACTGCGGCAGAAGCACTATTTCGGGAGGCGGACATGTGTCCAAAAAGGCAACACCATGGCGGGACGCGCCTTCGAACCAAATTGCCGCATCCGGAAAGCGGTTTGAAAGCAAAAGCCAACACGGGAGGATGGAGGGAGAACGGTTTCCATATAAAATTTGAAGCGGGCTCTGACACGAGCATGATGGATGAATCCAAAATGGTCTTTCTTCCCGAGGACGTGGCAGCAGCTGTGAAAGGAATGCTGCTACTTTAATCAAATACGCGCCGCGCTTTAGCGCGAGCCACAGAACCGCCGCGTGCACCGGAAATCCACTTTATTCTGACTCCAAGAACCCTGCAGTACAGTGTTCTGGACATCAACACGCTGGCCAACCCTGTCACCAAACCATCCTGCGTTCTCCGTTTCGCAAAAAGGGATAGGGTAGCTCAAAGCCCGAAAGTAGAACCGAAGAGCACCCAAGAAAGAACTCCAGCGGCATCCAGCGGCGCTAGCGTTCCAAACTCGGACTTTACAGCTCTGGGGCTCCAAGGCGCCTGCCCTCCATCGAAACCCTTGTGACAATCGTTGCAAATCTCTGCTGGAGCCAGCACTCTCTGCTTTCCACGGAGATGAGTCCGCGATTGGAAAATTGGAGAGAAGCTTGCTGAAATCTTTGAATCAGAACCTTCGGTGTCTGCGGTGCGCAAACATTGCAGCAACAGAAGCTGCCAACAAGCAGCCCCAAAGAGGTCGCCACTGCCACGAACCAGGTGCCCCGAAGGCCCCTATGAGCTCCAGAACCTCATGAGTACCAAGAAAAGCACCGTGCTTCGCAACAGTAAACGCCTGCGGTTCCTCTTGAACTGCAGTTCTGACAGAATCAGCAGTGAAACCAGGTATGTAGGTGTGGCCCACAACCTTCGCTAGAGCCAAGTCGTTGTCGTCATCGCCCATACTCACAGTTGAATCTTTGTCAAACTGCCCCAAAGCCTTCATGAGGTACTTGGCAGCCTTGTCCTTGCCGCTCGTGGCAGGATAGAAATCAGCACTGCCCAGATTGAAAGAACATGCCAAGTTTGTCGGAAGTGCATCAATGACAAGACGAAGGTCAGCTTCAGTTTTTCCCTGTGATTTTTTAACACTGACCCGAAAGTCGGTCGAATACTTGTTGGCATCACATGTCCAGCCTTCACGCTCCAATTTGCGGAACAAGTCCCACAATGTCCCAGGACGTTGAGAAGGCGGCACAGACTCGAGAACGACTGGTGCTGCAACATGAATACCTCGCCACTGCAAGTCTTCAACGATGGGTGCAGCGGTAAGGGCGGAATGGCTTGGAGCAGGAACAAAAATGCGTCCGCCATTTTCCGTGACGTACGCATCTGCTGCCGGAAGAAACGGCAGGCGTTCCAGGACCGTGCTGCTACGGGCACCACTGATTAAGACGAAGAGGTGCCCTTGTTGCCGGATCTTGGCGACAAGCTGCAATGTCCTTTCACTGATGAAGGCCAGGGTTCCGGTAGACGAAGGCGGAAGCGGGCGCACTTCAATCTCCTGGCCTTCCGTGGTGGTAAAGGAAAGGCCGTCTTCTGAAAGCCGACCCCAATGTTGCAGCGCATCATCTGCTATGTGAACCAGGGTTCCATCTATGTCGCTGAAGATTAGTTTTCTCATCACGAGATTAGGTTTCTCATCGCTGGCACGGCTGCGGTCAAACTTAAATTTGTTAGCAAAGGAAGGAGTCTTAGATCCGGTGTCAATCGTTGTTGCCATCCGTGGCGCTGAGGTCCCCGACCACACCACCAGCGTCTGCACAGTTGCAGCGTGATGTTGCTGCCTGCGGAACTCATGGATTCAGATGTTTTTCGTGCATCTGCTCCAGTTGAGGCCGGTACCTCTCCAGATACAACTGTGCTTCTCGGCTGGAAAACCCGTAGCTTGGGTCGGATAGCTGCTGCAATGGCCTAGAGGTCTGGCACTTCTGCAACTGACTTCCTTGTGAATCTGGAGGCTAGCCTGCAGCGGCGGCGGCTTTGCTAAGCTCTCGGGGATGTCTCGAACATACGCAATCTCACCTGCAAGTCGGCAGCAATCCCACGAAGAAGGTGCGTGACGTCTGGACAAAAACCATAGCTGAGCAGAGCCCTTCCTTCATTGTTCAACTCGTAAAAGGAGATGCCTCGAGTCCTGCACAGATCTGAGCAGATCGTGAAGCATCAGCCAAAGTGAATTGTGCTTCCATGGCTTTCAGCTAGGCTTCCGTCAGAGCACTCGACATGCGTTGACAAGAGGATGATTTGCTCATATTAGCATGTGTCTGCAATATGGTGTCAGCTTGAGCCTTCCTTATGGAGGCTCCTTCACTTCACACGGCAACGATGTGATGAAGGAAACTCCACAGCACATCCCATCCGAGCCTGGGGGCATCTGAGGAGGCCCCAGAGATCTCAACGTTCCAGGTGAAGCCTAAGCTCAAAGCTTTCGTGAGATGCCTCTGCACTCCTCTCGCGAGTAAAACAGCTAAGCTAGGCTCAGCATGCTCGATTTCCGTCCGAAAACCGCTCAGCAACGAATTTGAGTGCCTTGATCTCAGCCTTGTGGGGCAGCCGATCCCAAGCAGCGACTGGTGAAGAAGACTGGGTCGCAAGCAAACTTCTCCAAGAACTCGCCTTCGTGTGATAACTTTTGAAGACAGCATAGGGCATGCCTCTGTGATTTTTTTGCAACAGTAGTAGGGATGCAACCCACTGCGGCTTTCCCACCTGCCGGTTCACCACGATTCCAGCAATTACACAGCTTTCACAAGGCAGGTAACTCTAAGCCCCCATCGCATTGGCATCTCGTAGTTGAAGTCCTCGTACAACACCTGCGAGTCGTTCGGCAATAACACGGACGGCATCGTCATGGCTGGACGCAGGCCTCTTCCGCAAAGAAAGTTAACGACTCTGATGGTGCTGCATTGCCCTGGCAGGGGTCGAGAACGCGCCGTATAAATGAGTTATAGCTGTATGACTGACCAACTTCGAGCATGTGTCCTGCAGTTCGCTCCACAGATACCGGCAGATGTCACCTTTTGCCGACATACGACAAGACACTATAGTCATCATCAACAACTGTTTACCAGGCAAGCGCTGTAAACTGCTTCAAGAATCGCACTCGCTCCCGAAGGGGAGCGTCGCTCAACCTTGCTGACTATACTTTCTCCACTCCAGCACATGCAACCGATTGCAACCGCAGCCATCTGAGACAGGAACGGCATCAAATTTGGCTGTATTGTCACCACCGATGGCCTTATTTACCAGTGATCCTCTGTGCGGTATCCTCACTGTGACTGTAGAGCTTCTGGGACTTCAAAAGCCTGGGCCTTCAGTAGTTCCACTGTCGCATCACCCGGCTTGAACAAGGGCTCGCAGATCTCGCGCAGGTAGCTGACCAACCTTAAGCATGAGATACATACTTTCATAAGGCTCGAGACTATTTCGAGCCTTTGGGACAAGCTTTCTGGTTGCGAATGCTGTTGGCCCCTTTCAACACACGACAACACACAAACAGTCCTTTGAGACATACTTTCAAGACTGATGTAAGGACTTCAAGCCTTCATCTCTGTAAATCGTTTCGAGGCGCAACAATATGTACACACACCTCCAACCTGACATTTCAAGCCTACACAGATCCTTGCATGCAGCACATCCTACCACGATCCCTGCAGCCAGTAAAGCAAGTGCACTCTCCAAGCCCATTGCCCATCTTCATTCAGCTCCACATACGTGGTGCCACGGATTCCCACCTAGCTTGCGGATCTGGGAGAGTCGCGCGTGTGCACTTAGCATTCCGCGGGTCATCCCGGGATGCGGGGTCTGTTGCAGAGAAGTGGGTCAACATGGGTTTCTGAACCGCTCGCGCCGCTCAGCCTTCACCCCGCTCTTTCCAAGACCAAAGCTCCTGAAGCCAGATTGTTAGCTCCCCCTGTCAACCTCGGATCCCCATGCTGGGAACCGCCCGACGCATGACATTGGAGCTGCCAAGAAACAGAGCCCACCCCTTTCTGCATTAACGTCGTGTTGAACTAACATGTCTGCTTGTGAGCTCATGGCAGCACCGTCATCTTCCAAATGCCAGGTGAATCCACAAGACCTCCCCGCCGCCACCACGCGACACAAAGCACAAAGATGAAGATAAACCTTTGCTGTTGCTGCCCCAAGGCCTTGTGCCATCACTCAGGCGGTCAATGACGATCCTCATACCAGGAGCAAACATGTCACCAAGTCGGAAACTGCTGGAAGGAATTCTGTGACCTGCAATGACCTGCATACGCTGCTCTTTTTGCTTCACGAAAGCAGGGTCCTTCCGCAAGAAGCCTTGTTCTCTACGTAGGCGCGAACCTCAGGGATACGGGCATGGCGTCTTTTGTCGCACCAGGAAGGTTGCAGGCCAGCGGCACCAGCAGAATTTGATGCGCTGACGTCTGAGTAGTAGAGGTCCTGTTGTCTTCCATCGGGACACATTGGAGACCGAAACGTAGCGTCTCCGTGCATTAATCTGCAGCGATAGCAGTCACCTCATGTATCATGGTGACTCGGAAGCTTTTTGTCCAGCAATCTTCTCCCGTCCATCTGCAATGCTTCTGGCGAAGCAATGGCATACTTGCAAGATCTTGCAAGTCAAGTGTCTAAACTTATTTCTATAATGGTCCGCTTGCTGCTGGGACGGAGCTTCCACAATATGGGCGCTGCCCTCTCTGAATCGTCTGCAGCCAGCACTCGCTCCACGGGTACTTGTGCTGATGGACACAAGTCCTCCCTGGCCAAAGGGCAAGCCTTGCATTTAGGATAACGTGGTTTGCAGATTTCTTGGCCGAAGCCAATCATACGCCGAGCTACAATCTCGCGTATCTCCTCGGGAACAAAGCCTTCCAGGCAGTGTCGTGTCTGCTCCGGTTCGGTGAACCTTGACCATCCAAGCCGCCGAGCAACACGCTGAACATGAGTGTCTACGACCATTCCACATCCAGCTTGCTGAAAGCTCACGGACAGAACCAAATTGGCTATCTTTGGACCAACACCAGGCAATGCGATGAGGGCATCAAAGCTGGCTGGCACTCTCCCTGCATGGTGAGAAAGCAGAGTTGCCGCCGTCTCGCGTAGTCTCTGCGCCTTGCCTCTGTAGAAGTTGACTCCGACCAAACATTCACAGAGCGTCTCCAAGGGAGCCAGGGCAAGAGCTGCTGGGCTAAAGCACGCAAAGCACAGAAGGAGCCGCTTTGTCGCATCGATGGCCGCACGATCGCGGGTCTGCACACTCAAGATTGCCGCACAAAGGCTTGTAAATTCACAGCTATCAGATCCTGTCAGTGAGCAAAGGAAATCATGGAACTCTTGAACTGTGCCTCGGGCATCAGCTGAAAGAAGCACTCTCAGCTGCCGGTGCCAAACAGGGGGGCTGCATCCGCGAAGCCCAGCACCAGAAGCCCTCACGGAATGACCATCAAGGAACTCCTCTGTTGAGCGGCCGGACACAAACTACTCTTAGGGCGTCTCTACGACTCGACGAAGTTCCGAAGTTCGGGCAAAGGGTGTCTGTTTGCCTCTCCTTCTCAGGCGGTCAAACCAAAGCAAAACCCGAGTCCGAAGTCCGAAGTGTCGCCTCCCCCCGCCGGACCCCGGGTTTTCGTTTTCGTTGACGCGACGGTTGTTCCTCACACTCACGAACGAGAGTGCTGCGTCTTCCCCATACCACACGGCTACAGAGTACATCTGCTACATCTTGCAGTCTGCCGAGAGATCAAGTTGAGGTGCCCGGAGCTCCATATCCGTCGCATGCATCGTGCCCTCTGGCATCAGCGTGTGCTGTGGCGAGGTCCGGCTCATACTCACTGTCTGCTGCGGCACCTGCCGCGGCGGGCACTGATCTCCACCTGTCCCTGCCGCCGAAAATGCGAAGGCTTCCAGATCGAGGCCAAGGCTTGCCATGGCGCAGGTGCAGGTGCGGAGCCCGCACTCTTCGACAGCTTGCGAAATTAATGCAACGCGAGTCAACCGGGACCAGGTCCCCTGCCACTGCATGAAACGTTTACTTCAGACTGCAGAGTTCAGGGTTCGGAGGATGGAGGGTTCAGGGTCGAGCCTGCAGGCGGAAGGAAGCGTGAGTTGCACCAGGTCATTTCAAGCCATGGAGCCGCTTGTGGACGTTTACAAGTGCTTCATGCATGCCGCACATTGAGACTAGCCGTCAACTGATGGCCTCAACAACTGCGTTCGCGTCGAAGGCTTCCAGCCAAGCACGCTCCTTTTCCACATTGCCTCCACTCAGGCGAGCACTGGAGTCGGTGTCAGTACAGGCACAAAGCTGAGAAGGGCACCCTGCGGGAGACCAACCTGCAGAGCAACCATAAGCTCATAAGCTGTTCATAGTCTTGCATCGCTCGCCAGTGCACCTCCTCCCACAACCGCAGCACTAAAGACGGTGCTGCTCCCAAACTCGTCCTGTATTGGTCCATCAGAGCATTCCGCGACTACATCACGACCGTGCCGACTACCGGCGTGATCTGGGGCGTCAGCTGTCGAGTGACTTCCAGGGTCGCAACCTGACAAAAACACTGAAGCAGAATGGCGATGAATGTACGCTCCATGTTGAGAACCCTTTCGTGGACGCACCTGCATCGAGACCGACGGATTGCCTCTCAGAACTGACACTCCGGTCACCCCCACCCCAGGCTTGTCATGCAACTCGGTCCGGAACGGGCAGGTCCCGGTCCGCATCTCTTGCTTCGATTTCGGAGCACAGCATGCACACCAGCCTTGCTTCTACTGGCTGATCCAAAGCACTGCTTTGAAGTCAGAGCAGTGAAGACTGCAAGTCAAGCAGTACTAACAGGTCTCACTGGGTGCTGGTCAACGGATCCCATCATCAGAGCCGTCACTGCTGCAGAAGCCTCGCCAGCTCTTTGCAAAGCCGTCCGCAGCGGCTCGTTCTGCAGCCTACATGACCCACCTTCCGACTCTCTTCACGAGAAGCTGCTAGTGGCGAAATCTGGCAAGGACTCAGTTGATATTTCTGTTCTGCAAGCCAGTGCTGTGGAATGCTCAGCCTCTTTGATGGGAAGAACTGCTGGGAATGCCGGTCTGCTCGGCCGCAGCGGCGAAGCAGACTTAGTGTCATGAAAGGGTGCCCCGACCAGTTTGCAGTTGCGCCTCCTAAGCCTTGCACAAGCAGCCCAGCCATGGCTTGCCAGTTTCGCACCAGGCGCCACTACAAATACGTCGTAGATGCATGCAATTGAATCTTGAACACTCGAAGCTTCTTCTGCACCGTGTGCAATATGTGACTTGAAAATCACCTCCATCTGTGGTTGCAGTGCTCAGCTTTGAGCAAAGATTGCTGACATCCTCAGTGCTTGATTGACTGCGGCCATACTTGTACAAACAAGGATGCCAAAGACAACGACGACAACTACAACAGCAACAAATTGACATACCACCAAGCATAGCTACCAGCACCAGCAACGGCAGCAGGAGTTGTAGCACCGCCGGCAGCAACGACACCTGCATACTGCTGGATCATGGCCTGCCCGGCGGGTTTGCCTCTGGCAAAGTCCGATGGCGATGCAGTGATCAAGTTTGTTTCTGGTCGGCTGATGGACCTTGGCATTAACGGAGAAACGATGCAACAAACTGTCGTGCAGCCTGAATGGGGCTGGAATAATGAATAAGGTTCTGACGGGAATGCCATGCCTCCACGACGCGCAGCCAACACCAAAACGACTGCGGTGGCCTCAGCACGGAAATAAGTGCCGGAAACTCGCATGCACACAATATTTAACACCGGCCAGGTGCACGGCGACGACAGTGAACCGGCTGCCATGCCGACGGCAGTGTATTCTCGACCGCACAAGTGATGCCTCGGCAGCTCGCGAGGCATTGCCACAAGATCTCTTGAAGCAAGCGCGCGCACACACACACACACACACACTCACACATACAGCTGTGGCCAGTGCTGATGTCCTGAGGCATCAGGCTCTTCACAAGTGGTGTGACAAAACTCATGGTCATGTTGGGCCCGCGCATTGTCATCAAAAGACAACGAACCAGTGCAGGCCCATGTCTGCTGATCCAAGAAAGCAGACAGTTACGCAAATGTCTCGCAATTCCCGATAAAAACTTGGAACAACACAGACAAAAACCAACATGAAAATGAAAAGAAGGTTGATGATGAGGTCACGCAGCCATGCATGCTCTGTTGGAGGCATTTGCATACTACCGAAACATCTGTGATGTGTCGCATCCAATGCGAGATAGAATTCACTGTCAGTAAACATGATTGCAAAGTTTCTTCCGACTGTGCAATCTCGACCCCACTGTCGAGTTTGCGTGGAGGACATTCCGTCTCGGAGACATGCTCCGAAAGCCTACATCTGCTTCACAACAAAACACTGTTCAAGAATCTGCACAAAACAAACAACATACCCGTGCCGATGTTGATTGCATTGTTTGGCTGGGGCATGGGACATACGCTTCACCTTTTCATGTTCAGGACGCGTGCCAGCAATGCATGAAAAACGCCTAAATGGACTTTTCCTGACGGGGGGTGGGCCCCAGACCTTCGACGAAGGGGGGGCTTAAGGGGGGCTT